TTTGCTTAAGTGTTTTTTCTTTAATTGCTAATGCAAGCTTTTTACACCACAGACTGAACAAAATTAAGCATTGCTTGGTAATTGGTTGAGCTAAATTGGTTTTATCTAATTGTGTTCTTGACATATTTTATTACCATTTTCTAAACTATAGCGAATAAACTGTGATAATGTGAGAAATGTTGAAGGTGTCTGAATACATTTTGGTTTGACTAAGTATAAAGAAGGTTAACATCTGGGCAAAAGCAGGGTTTCTGCTGGTTTTATGAGGGCAAATTTAAGACTTCAAGACCTTTTTAAGACAAAGATCTGGTCTCTAAATGTAAATGTCTTATGTGTCCTAAATGTCTTACACATCGGTTATTATTTATTTTACACAAAACTTAGAATAATAGAACATTAAAACTAGAATATTACTAGTATATCACTAGAATATATATAAAAAAATAACTTTCTGATGTTGCTCAGTATTTTTATCCTGTTTTTCAGGAAATGGGGGGGGGACACGGTAACACTTTACATATAGTTTTTATGCATTAAGTATACCTTGTAATGCATTGTACAATCTCATGAATAATTGTAACCAGAGTTAATACATTATAAGACTTATCAATTCATTGTTACACTATGAAAATGTGCTTATACTTATTTACAACAAGATATAAATGTATTACAATGGGCATTATGAATAATTATAATTAATTATACCCTCTAATAACCCTTAGGGAACCATAAAGTGTTACCAAAAAACATCTAAAGATTCCTAAATCAAAATTCATTTACATGAAAAGCAAAATGACAGAAGAGAAACTAATGAAATGAAGTGAGATTATGACTAAAGCAAGAACAGATATCTGCCCGTGTTCGGTATCTGCTCAGAAAAATCTAATGAATTCAAAGAAAAAACAAGTTTTCATTTCCCATTGACAGATATTTGTTCATATCATATCATAGCATAAACTCACTTAAATTTGTCACATTTCTCAGAAAACAAGACGTCTTATCTTTGATTCGCATCTCAAGTAAATCTATCATGATTTAAGGATGTTTAGATATTTGTACTGGAAAACAAAACAAAAATACTTTCACAATTTGAGTTGAATTACTGAAATAAATTAACTTTTCCATGACATTCTAATTTATTGAGATGCAGCTATACATTTTTTTCTTTCAGACCTTTGTAAGACTTAATTTGTGGAAGGACAAATTAAGACTTTTTATGATCTGCAGAAACCCTGAAAAGACAATATAATAGTTAAGAAATATTATCATTATTGTTTTTATATGATGATGGTCTGAACCCATCTTCACGCAAGCTTACTATCTCAGCAGTGCTGGTGTCTCAGAGAAAAAGCCCATCCGCTCCTCTAGAGGGTGACAGAAAACAAGCAGAGCCAGAGAGAATGTGGTCAAGTGTCCCTTTTTTTATTAAAGAGTCAGAATGACACGTCATTTCATAGCAGTCAAAACAGACAAGCCCAGGAATCTTGTAAAAATGACTCTTTTGATAAATTACAAAATAAAAGTCAGGGCAAAATAGAAAACAGAGCTAAGATCTACTTCAGCCGGACGAGTGTCAGAAGAGCCATCAGAAAGACACATGACCTGGAGGAGTTCAGCCTTTCTTCTTCAGCTCAGTGTTACACATGCGTCACAGACACCAGATAAATAAATAAAGGAACCTTTACGAACACAGAGCAGAGCAGGTCTTCTGTGAGGTATTTCAAATAAACTCTACGCTGAAAAAATCAAGTTACACACCAGAGAGATGCTGGGTCCTCATTTCATTATATTACAAAACTGATGAAAACAATGAAAAAACAAAACTCTTTCCATCTTAAATCACCGCTTCTGATTGTGAGAAAGGAGACTAAGGTTTGCTCAGATCACACATTTCTGATTATTACTTATGATTTCATTCAATAATATTCCGGCCATTGAAGCAAATGAAACAATCGAGATACTTTGATCTGACATTTTCATGACAATTTAATACACATTTGACTGTTTGCTTTGTTATTCTGATTAGTCTAATTTAAAACACCAATAAAATTATTGTTTAATTGAAAACAGCATTACATTTTATTTTCTTCACAGAAATAGCACTTTGCTTCATTATGATAATATGAATTTGGGGTAAATGTGTTTGTTACAAAAATAAAATCACAATAAAAAAAAAAAACTTAATTGTCTGAAAAATAGCCTTCGTGTTCTTCATGGTGAATGTTTTTAGGGTAAAGACAAACATGTTCTTGACAGGTTTCATGAGATTCACTTCTTTACAACACAAAGACAATGATTTCCATTAGATAAGAATGGACTAGTTTAATGTCCAAGAACTGCAACCCCATCAGATCCAGAGCAAAACCACAATCCCTTTCTGCACAATACAGTATCATCTGTATGGGTACATATCAAAACAAAGCCACTGTAACACGGTAACTGATCACTGTAAAACATAAACTGGTCACTGTAACCTGTAACATAGTTACAATCACTGTAACACAGTAACTGATCACTGTAACACACAGTTACAGTTAAATTTAACACAAACTAATCACTGTAACATGTAAATAGTAACCAATTACTGTAAAACAGAAACTGATCACTGTAACACAGTAACTGATTACGGTAACATAGTAACCGATCACAGTAACATAGTAACCAATCACAGTAAAATAGTAACCAATCACTGCAACACAGTAACTGATCACTGTAACATGTAAATAGTAACGAATTACTGTAAAACAGAAACCGATCACTGTAACACAGTAACTGATTACGGTAACATAGTAACATATCACTGTAACATAGTAACCGATCACAGTAACATAGTAACCAATCACAGTAAAATAGTAACCAATCACTGCAACACAGTAACTGATCACTGTAACATGTAAATAGTAACCAATTACTGTAAAACAGAAACTGATCACTGTAACACAGTAACTGATTACGGTAACATAGTAACAGATCACTGTAACACAGAAACTGATCACTATAACATAGTAACCGACCACTGTAACATAGTAACCGATCACAGTAACATAGTAACCAATCACTGTAACATAGTAACCAATCACTGTAACATAGTAACCGATCACTGTAACACAGTAACATAGTAACCGTTCACTGTAACAGTAACCAATCACTGTAACACAGCAAACGATCATTGTAACATGTAACTGATCACTGTAACGTGTAACCGTTCACATGAACACCAGCAAACAGTCACATTTGTCAGAGGATTCATGAAAAAAAAGCTTCAAAATCTTAAGTGCCAGCACAAATAAATACGCATCAAATTTAGAAAAAGGGAGAAAAAGCATGGACTGAGATAAGCTGGAGACCGGAGCCGTCATGAGCACAGAGAGTCTGTACATCAGGCTCCAGATCCGCCACTCACCGCTTTGCCACTGAAATATGATGCGCTTTTGACGGCTGATTGTGATGGATTGTCAATACATTCTCTTTTCCTCATTACAATTACACTGAAATTCAAGGCCAACAATAATCTTTGTGAAATATGTATCGTTTTGAAAAAAAAAAAAAAATGTAACCATAATAATTACATACATAGTGCCATCAGCAAGAAAAACATCACAGAATGTGTAGAAAGACAGAAGCTAGTCATACTAGTTAACCAGGTCAATCTGAAAATAACACTTTAGATCACAAATCTGTCATGGCAGTGAGAGGAAATTATTTTATGTATATCAAAATTCACAAAATGCCCAGCACTCGGAATATTCAAAATACATATCAGAAATCGTTTTTAAAAAGGTGGTGACATCGATAAAATATTGCTTTGCCAAAAATGTGAATTGAATTGAGAACTGACCGTGAAGTCCTTTCCAGGGTCTAACGGATCTCACTAGAAAAGTAAAGTGTGAATCAAACATCTCAGATTGTAATAAACGCAGAAGTCTGAGGTGTTGGTGAAATGTTGTGGAGACTAAACCGATCAAACCTCAGGAAATCAAACCTGCATCTTCACATTAGCTCATCGACCATAAACAAATCTTATAACATTTATGAATAATAACAGTATCTTTTAGCAAAATAAACTTTTGAAATCTTTGTGGTAAATCAAATTTAAGACCAAACTTTAAGAAAATAACTGCATATCGCTTAACTTCGGCCTCATTTGTGTGGTTCAATTGAAAAAAAAAAAAAGTGATTCAATATATGTTTTCAATCACATCAGGCAGTAGATTTATTCACTCAGGTGTTTTAAAGCAGAATCCATGAAAACAAATTGTCAGTTTACCCCAAAACATCATTCATGACATCAGTCAGACTCTGATTGTTCGTGTGAAGAAACCGAAGACTTTACTTGACGTAAAATGCAGATAAAAATTTACTATAATATTAGAATAAGCCACTTGTATTGGCCAAATTATTGGACTTGATGTCAATTTTTCACTTGCCTCTGTGAGTGAAAAATAGAAAAATACAGGAATATGTTTATCAAAACGTAAACGCACTGTTATTGACTATATCTAATGAATAACATTGTTCAGATTCCTGACTCTCTAACTACACCACAGTCATTATTCTGTATTTGGTCCATATTAATGCAAGATTTTAGCAGTTCATTGAAGTAAATCAAAATAAAATGTAAAAAAAAAAAAAAGCCACCCCCCCAAAAAACCAACAACAACAACAACAGCTGATTGCGATGTGATCATGAAATGATTTCTGGACGTCCAGAATTCATAAATGTGCAACTGACTGTACAAATGGATGAGAAAAGAAACAAAACACACGCACACACCCAAAACAAACACCGTTAGCCGCTTTCCCCTGAGCGAAGGGACGAAATATTAAGGAATCAGGAGATATAATAATATAACAAAACTGGCTCATACTGATTCAGCCCAGCACTTAATCCAGTCGTATTTTGCACCTCAAATCTGATGCTCATGTCCGTCCAGCAGGAGGAGACAGAGTTCAGATATCTGTCACTGGCGCTCAACGATCAGATCAAATACTGAGTAATACTGTTATCAAGCATCGAGCCCATGCAAATATTCACTTATGAATTCATAAAGGCATCTACAGTCTTGAAAGACAGAAAACAAAAGACGTGGACAGGCGAGGGACTGAATGAGAGCGCGAGAAACCGCTTGCATTCATTACTAACTGGACGCTTTCATCCCGTATACAAAATACATGCACAGTCGGTCAGTATCAGTCACACAAATAAACCCCCCAATGAGAAATGAAATAAGTGCTTGGCTTTCAAGTATTTCTTTGACCAAAAAACAAAACACAAATAACTAATTCCCTTCAATTTGCTTTTAAAATAGAGATGCTGAGTGGAAGAGAAAACCAGCAAGCGTAAAGGAACCAATCAGATGTCACGGACAGCAGGAAGTAAACGTTGATTGCAGCGAGGCTCAGTCGAGTTTCTTCTGCTCTCTCGGGCTGAAGTCGGCGCAGAAGCCGTTGGTGGCGTGGGACGGGGAGCTGCTGCCGAAGCCTGCGTTGTCTGAGTAGAGGTACTGCTCGGCAAAGTCTGGATGCTGATCCACAAACTCCCTGAAGCTCTCTGCCAGCAGGAGGCGCCAGAGGAACAAGAGTCAGAGCAGGAAAACAACATCTGAAACACAGCGTCTAAATAACTGCACACTTCTACACGACGCATGATTCAGATGCTTCTGTTAAGAGCAACTTGTGGGAACTATGTCAAGACACAGAATAGGCTGTGTTTTTACAAATGCTTGTGTTTTCTATCAAATGATAGCACAATGAGGCATGAAATCCTCAAATATGTGAATGTTAACCGGCATTAAGTTACAGCAGGGTAGCATGAATTGGGGGGGGGGATCTATGCATTTTGTCCTGATAAATTTATGATTGCAATTTAAAATGCAATAAACATTGCATTGTTTGTAGGGTTGTACAATTTTGGCCAAAGTGATTATATCTCAAAGTGGCGATAAAATAATAATAATAATAATACATAAGAAACATTACAATAAACTTTCAATATTAATATAAAATGACTAAAAAGTAAGAAATGTTATTATTGCAATATTCCACTGTAAAACACAAAAACAGGGTATTGAGGAAAAGTTACATAATAATTATTTTATAATACATTATAACTGTAAAATTGCAATAGTAACATTTATGGCTAATATTCACCTAACATTAATCTTACTTTCCTCAATTTCAAACAATAAACCAGCAAATATTTATTTTGATGGAAAACTGCAGGGAGCGCTTAAAGCTTCTCGTTTGTTGTTGATAAGATGGTTGGCACAATAATTTCCTGAAATTTATGTTAAAGCGACTCACTAAAAACAATGAATCCTGTATTACTCGCATATATAAATGAACCCTTCACACTGAAACATTCAGTGCATGTATTTATTTAATTTAATCACAGTGATTTAATAATCATACTAAGCCATATCGTTTCAATTAATTGTGCAGGGTCATTGCGTTAAATACAAACGTTTCATCATCTACACAATCCTAGGCGACGTCAGCCGAAACGTCATAATGACTCATTCTCAAGAAATCCAGGAGAAGAACAAAGACAGCAGGTCAGTTGTGTGTATGAACGCATCTCTTACCGAAGGTGATTTTACCCGAGTCTTCTTCATCGATGGCTCTGAACAGTCGGCTGACTCTGAGCTCTCCGACGCCCAGCGCTGTCCTCAAGATGCACATCAGCTCGTTCTCTGTGATCGCACCGTCCTCCTCTGCCTCAAACATCTGAAGACATCACATAAACCAGCAGACTCTCAGAGCCGAGCATCATCACCGCAAGTGCAGTCATTCAATCATTCCAGAAAACCCGGCATAATCTACTCATCTGACCTGGAAGGCCAGCCTGATGGTGTCCAGTGTTTTTGCAGGCTGACACACCACAGAGAAGGCGACCACAAACTCCCGGACGTCCATCGAGTGGTCTTCATTCTGCTCCGAGAGAGACGAGACGGAAATATTTCATGGCATAGAGCACAAGCAACAGCTAATCAGTGAAACGATGGAGGAAACGGACATCTGATTCAATCGCACATTCACATCTGATCATGAACCATTAAAACTCCTGCTCAGAACTATGTGGATGGATATTAATTTACCTCGTCAAAGAGAGCGAACATGTGTCTGAGCTCGCCTGACACGGGCAGCTCGAGGAACTGGGCGAAGTCCTCCAGACTCAGTCTCTGACCCTGCAGTTTACGAGCGCACTTCCCATAATCCTGCAGGAGCTTCTCTGAGTTCACACGCTTCAGCCTGAGATTCAACACGAGCAATTCAGTACAAACCTCATCCAGCGTCAGCACGCGTTCACTCACATCAGCGCAGCCATGCAGAAATCACACAACCCAGTCAGAAAACGCAGTCTACTGTATAAGCCAGAATGTCAGGCAAATGTTACATGAATACATCAAAAGGAGGGCTGCACACTCAATCAGATCATATGCACTAGTGTGTAAATATGAAGCAGTAGAATGTACTTATCAGTAATAAAAATAAACGTATTAAAACTTTAAGAAATAATGTGATTTTTCTTTCATGTTTTGATTTTAACAGTGAACCTGTGATGTGCAGCACTTTGTTTGACAAAAAAATAAATTTATTTTATTACATTTTAAAATATTAAAGTGTTAATGCCTTCATTTAACTCTCACTGTTTTTGATGACAAAACCAGAACATTTTAAAAAGACAATGTCATTTCTGAAAAAATACAAAAAATAAAACAAACATTCCATTTCACCCTACTGTAAAATAATTTGAATAAATTATTAAATTGTTAAAGTTTATTCATTCAAGTGACTAGACATTATTTCTGATTACTAAAATTTTAATTAAACCATTACAGCGAAATCAAGAACAATTAAAACGAAATAAACAGAATGAAACCAATAAACCAAATTTGTGAGGGGGGTCAGATCATTTGGCCCTAAAATGTAATCTGTGTTAAACTTTTAATAAATTGTTATTAGATTAAATTTCAATTAAGTAGGCATGCTTGTAATTACTAAACATTTACTGAAAATGTAATTAAAACAGAAAACAATGGAATCCAAAGAAATGGTAACAATTTGTTTTTAATAAATGGCAATTAAAAATAAATTAATTAATAAAAATAAAATTTAAAGAGAGGAAAAATGGAACTGATTTCGTAGTGCCCTAAAAATGCCATTTTTATTTCCTTTGAATAAATTGATGTTAAATTGTATACGTTTCAATATGTCAACTAATTAGACATGTTTTTTTATTATTAAAACTTAACTATTAAAACCGAAAAAAAAAAGGAATTCAATGGAAATTAATTTTTCCAATGGAAAAATCCATTAAATTAAAAATGAATTTCCCATACAAAAAATAAACTGAAAAATAAGAATTTTGGGAAACATAAAATTGATTCATAGTGCCATTTTCATCAATTTCATCTTCTGCAAGTGTCTGCAGGCTAATTCTCCTCATCAACATCTGTAATGATAACGAGACTCACCCCAGACTGCGCACCAGTTTAGCGAACTCCAGCAGACACGTGTCGACGGGCAGCCGGATCTGACCCTCCGCCATGGCTAGCTGACAGTCTTCATACGAGTAGTCTGTGACGGGGACCTGCAGGGCCCTTCAGACATAACACATGACAATCAGACACACGCATTCATCAGAGTCTGTCCTAACATACAGCAGAAACATTTGGTTATGATTATGATCCCTCAGTTGAGATGTCTCACTCATCACCCTCAGAGAACCAAGGTTATAACCATAACTAAATGTTCTCTTTCAGTCGACTCGCTTGACATCTCACTATGGGATATAGAAAACACCCAATATTCAGGCATCCCTACCTTACTCATTGCACTTAAGGGTTTCTGTTCTCCTTTCCTTTATCATTTTTTTTTTTTATTGTGTTTCCAGCACTGCCTGTACCAAGGCAGACTTTGTATCGTCCAATTTATAAAATCTCACAAATGTATGTGGAGAGACCCAGTCAGCTGCTGAACACACATTTTCCATAGAGATGCCTTTAAATAACACCCAAGACACAGTCATTCCCCTTGTAGAATGGGCCCTTAGGTTTGCTGGTAATAGCTGACCCTTTGCTGAATACACCAGCTTCATAGCCTCCACTATCCAGTGAGATGCTCCCGATTCCCCTTTCTCTAGGGATTCTGAGAGAGGAGGGTGGAAAGCCTTAATTTCTACATCCATACATGAATAGCCAGGTTTGATTACCTTGTGCACGAACGCTGGGTTTGGAAGCAAGATAACTCTGGAAAAGTTTTGTGTATACCTGATACATGCAGGGTTGATAGGCAATGCATGTAACTCTCCGACCCGCTTCATAGAGGTCAGGGCAAGCAGTAAAGCTGTCTTGTATGAGACAATCTTCAACTCTGCAAGCTCCAAGGGTTCAAAAGGGGCTTCCCTGAGTGCTTCCAGGACCAGGGACAGATCTCATGCTAGTAACATAGGTCTGGTAATTGGTCTCAGACGGCGCACACCCTTCATAAATCTACTTATGATAGGATGCACTGTTTCACCATTAAATCCCATATGACATAATGAAATGGCCGCCAGGTACACTTTGATTGTAGAGAAGGCTTTGCCTTCTTCTAGTATCTCTTGAAGGAAGATAAGAATGTCCGACACTGATGAAAGAATCTTTTGTCTTTCCTGACACCATAGGTGCTTTCGCACCGGAGGAACCTTTTCATAGTTCCTAGAACTACTGCCAGAAGTTCCCGCTTTTTGGCATCTTCGCACCACAGGAACTAGGAACGCATTTAGTTCTAGGAACTCCATTTAGGGGAACTAAATGAGTTCCTAATTCTGAGCAGGGTCTAAAAAAGTTATACAGGAACTACCAGTGACATAAGTGTACGCTGATTGGCCAAACACATACGAAACACTGGCTATCCAGCATTTTTAAAAAGCCGTGTAAAAATATTTACTCCATGAACATGGAAAACAGCAATAACATTTGTTTATTTTCCCAGCCTCGACGATAACACTGCAAGTTGTCATTGGAAATTTAGTCAGATTTTCATGCTCTTTCATGCTCTTTCAAACTGTGTTTACATCTCCATTATCATGAACCCCACGACGCACAACAAAAACAGCTCCGAACACAACGTCCTCCATTCACCGGTTGTTGATGTCTGTAAATGCGAATAAAGACGTCACAGTCGGCCACTTCTAAGTTCCTGCTGCCGGTGCAAATGCAACCAGGAAAACGGCCAGAGGGAGAAATTGGTTCTCTAGGAATGACCTTGCTGGCAAATTCCTAGAACTACACGGTGCGAAAGCGCCTCATGTCTCAAACCTTTTCCATTTTGCCTCATACATAGATCTGGTGGAGTCCACTCTAGCACTCTGTATGGTCGAGATCACATTCTGGGGCAGGACCAGAGCATTCAAGACCTCTCATGGGCCAGACCCAAAGATTCAACCTCTCCGGATGTGGATGAAAAATCCTCCCCCCTGCCAGAGGGAGGAGGTCCATCTCTGCTGTCCACGTCCTCCCTGGTCATGATGGGGTTATTAGGAGCACCCGCACCCTCTATGTTCTGATTCTGGACAGTGTGGGCAGGAGAAGGCTTATTGGTGGGAAAGCTTATAACAGGGACTCTGGCCAGGGATGTGCTAATGCATCCATCCCTAGTGGCGCATTCATTCCCTTTAGTGAGAAGAACAGGGGACAATGCGTGTTCTTCTCTGAGGCAAATACATCCACTTTTGCCTGACCATATTTGTCCCATATTCCCTGAACCACCTCTGGGTGGAGCCTCCAGTCCCCTGGGTAACTGCAATGAGTTCCAGACAATTTATATGCATTATTTCGACTGATTCTGTCCATACCACATGTTGTCTTTCCATTATCACTCCCCAACCCAGTGAGGATGTGTCTGTGGTGACCACCTTGAGATTTGTGACCACTCCCATTGGCACACATTCCATCAGGAATTTCCTGTCCCGCCAGATGAGCAGAGCTTTGAGACATTGGGCTGAGATGCACACCCTCCTGTGCAGATGTCTGGAGGGATTTAATTTCAGAGAAGCAGTCAATCTCTGAAAATCTCTCATGAACATCAGCCCCAAAGGCACTACTGCTATGACTGAATCCATGAGGCCCAGCAACCTCAGACTCAGCCGAAAAGAGACTGTTTTCCCCAGATGAAACTGATTCACACAGTTCCCTAAACCCTTTCCCCTCTTTTCCGACAAGGTTGCCCGGTAAGATATTTAATTTAGGTTTAAACCCAGTAATGTCACTGACTTTGTTGGAGTTAATGAGCTCTTTTTCTGGTTTACTACAAACCCCAGAGCATTCAAATCCATTAACACTGCCCTTGTATCTCCTTTGACCTAGCACAAATTAATCAGTCATTGAGATGCACTAATATCCTTATGCCCTGCTGCCTCAGAGGTGTTGTGAAAATGTGGGGTGCTAGAGACAGGCCAGACGGTAGAAACCTGAACTTGTATGTCCTGCCCTCGAATGCAAACCTTAGAAATTGCCTGTGCTGGGGATGGATCTGGATATGGAAATAAGCATGTTTGAGATTTATTGAGGTGAACCAGTCTCCTCTTTGTATAGAATGGAGCGGGGACTTGTGTGCCAGCATTCTGAATTTGCATTTCCTCAGGTATTTGAGGTCTCTCTGAGGTCCAGAAAAGGCTGTATGCCTCCCCCTTTCTTTGGGATCAGAAGGTACTGGCTGAAGAATCCCTTGTTTGATTCTTCTGCTGACACCTTCTGAATTGCTTCTTTGAGAAGGAGATAATTTATCTCTTCCCTCAAAATGTTTGCATTATCTGCTTGCACTTTTGACTGTCTTATTCCTGAGAACCCTGAAGGTTTTCTCACAATTGCAGTCTGTACTAAAGGTCTTCTCGGGTCCTAAAATATGTACCCGACCCAAATCACTTCTTACCCGAACCCGACGTGCATAAATTCATTTTTTTAAAAGAAAAACCCAACCCGAGACAGACCCGATGAAATTAGACCCGAGTTCGACACGACGGCATTTATTTTCGAACCCGAATGTAAACGGCATTGACATGTGTACAGCCTGCAGCCCCGCAGTCAGTCAGGAAAAATCCTGGAGTCCTGTTGACTGATTTGGCCACTTCTCCATTATTTTGATTTATTTAACATTTATTCAATTTATTATTAGGTTACTTTATATTAGTGCCTGCCTGATGGATACAAGGTATTTCTGAGCTCCGCTTTCAATTGTGACCAGTGGATTTGAAAAATAAATGTGATAGTTTGACAAAAAATTAATCGATAGCCTAATCATGGATTCGCTGTTGTCTGCAACCTGATCTCTGGTGAAAGGCTTCTGCACACAAAAAAGAAAAGCCCTGCATGAACACGCAGCATAATAAAGCGAGTGGGTTTTCCTGATGCATCTCATATCTATAAGATGATGTCTGTGTGCGAGGATTACGAACGTATGCTCCTTTTCTATGTGCGTTCCTCTCTTAACACGAAAGTGAAAGTAACCTACGCATTCGGGATAGTTAACCTATGGGATAGTTTAAAAGAATTCGGGTCTAATCGGGTCCATTTGGGAAAAGCATGTTTATTTTAAATTACCCGAGACCGCTAATACTGAACCCGACCCGTGTCCGAGGTACTCGTCGAAGTTTTGGACCTGAACCCGCTCGGGTCAGACCTAGGGTTTTTGGATCCAAGTGGACCCGTGAAGACCTCTAGTCTGTACCCCTTTTGGATCGTGTTCAGTAACCACTGAGAGACTGTGCATTTCACCCAATTATCTAGGTGTACCGATAAGTCTCGTACCTCATTTAAATGTGGTGCTGGAGAGACCTCTAGTCGTAAAACCTGAAACTGTGGTAGACTTACTCCTTGTATCGCGGGTGTTTTTAACAATAATGTTTGTACAGGGTGCTTTAGTAACACCGTATTGTGACTTAAACAATTTCCCTTCATGAGGTTTTGTATAAGAGTCTTGCTTGAATTAAGAAAGGGGGAGAACAAGAGACCACACAATGTTCTTGTGCATAAACAGTCTGCTTTATTTGATTCAACAACACAGGGGAAATAGGTGTGTGATAATGCTTCTTTACTCAACCCCAGGGTATGTGCGGTGGTTGGTGAGTGCTTTTGATGCTCATAGTTGTACTCTGGGGAATTTGCGGTTGCATTGTGTTGCATTGTTGCCACAGCCAGCCTGAACAGACCTTCAGGATCTACAGGCTGATCGAGAAAATGATCCTTATTTTCCGCCATGGTGGACAAATTCAGACCAACCTCTCTGACCAACCACCCCCAGACCCAGAGTTCATCCTGCAGACTGAGCCAGACATCTTGAGGAGTGCAATAAAAGATCTGTTACGATGTGAATCTCCGTCCACAGCTCAGTGACGTTCTTTCCCTACGACAAAGCCCCTGTCATCTCCTCCTCCAGCTCAGCAATGTAAGCCAACAGAAGAGTGATCGTGTTGGTAGCGTGCCCCGTTTGAGCTGAATATTTATAAATCTTCTCAAAAATCGACGCTGAGAAAAGGACCAGATCTTCGAGGCAGCTTAGGTGCGATCGTGGATAAACAGGGATGCCTCCATTGGCGGCATGTGAGACCAGCCCATCTCCAGCATGCCTGCCATGTCCAGCGAGGAAAAGCCATATACTGGAACCCTAGATGAACCCTAGATACAGTCCTGAAAAGCTGGAAGTGTCTGATGAACTGTCGAGGTAGTAGGAACAAGGAATTTTCCATCTAGCCTCGAGCGTTTTTCAGCAGGGAGAGCAGATGGCCAATCAATGCCAAGCCTGCTCGCCACTCAATGGCAAACCTCGTGCAGAGTTGTACACCCTGCTGCCATCTGCTGTTCTTCCACCCCTGGCTAGTAACCAGAGGACTCTGGTTGGGGAGCAAATTGATCTTCATCATCCTCCTCCTCGCCATCATCTGACATAACTCTCAAGGCTGTGATGGAAACTGAGTCGTCGTCTGGTAGGACTGGTAGGGAATGACTTGATTTCCATCTCAAAAGCGATCGGTTCCCCCAGCTTATCTGAAGGAATAAACTGGCCAGCCCAACTCGCCGGCATAGGATATTCTGTTACCTGCAGGGATGCTGTGGTATATCTCCCCTGTATGGGATTGCTACACACATCTTGTACAAACACCGCCCTCCTGCACAGCACCCCAGGAGACAGTTTGCTGCATTGATTACAAGAGACCGGTGACTGTAATGCTGCTTGGGCATGCTCCGGACCCAGACACGCCGGGCATACTAAATGCAGATCCCTAGCTGCAATAGTGAATCCACATCCCCCAGGACAAGGGCGAGAAGGTGCTCTGCACTTGCTTGACTTCATAGAAAACCATGTTCAACTGGTAAGTTGATTTTTGTCTACTTTATATGCTTGGTAAAGCACTTCAATACACTTACTGTTCTTATTTAGCCTGACGCCCTACAACAAGTGGTAACTTGTCTTTCGGAAAGTTTAATCTTGCCAAAGTAACACTAAGTGCACTGAAACAAGGGCTCGTAGCTTGGATGCTGCGAGTGAAGAGATGTAGGATGCCATACTGGGCCAGCGCTGAGGTTTATATAGGAATGGATGGGGCTTCCCGAGAGCGTGGGCCAGATGGGCATGATTGTATAGGGCTTCATGGATGGCCACGCAAGAGGCGTTTCCCATAGTGAGATGTAGAGCGAGTCGACCGAAAGAGAAACAAAACTCAGTCATGAACACAAATGGTCACAGTTCACCCAATATTAAAAAAAGTAAAAAAGTTTCAGGACTGTTTTTGCATTGTTTCCATGACAGTTAAGCACATTTAACGCTCTCATCTCATCATACATATAGATTTAATAATTAATGAATTAATGAATTAATTTTTTTCCTGCATGAGAATTAGGGTGCTTAATTGTTATTAAAATAAAAGTTTTTTTTTTTAGATTTGCAAGATATGCATTAAAAAAAACGGTACATGACTAATGAATTAAGATTTTTTTTTTAAATGTCATTAATGCATTTATTACATTTATTTGGGCTTGTTCTATAGCTTTCCTTACTCAAAAAGAAATTGAATGCAGAAATGAGTGAACTACAAAAATACTATGAGATTAAGAAGGATTATATAATGTAATTGATTAACAGAGACATTGCAATAAATGAGGGGAAAAAAACAACAACAAAAACTTAACAGTCCTAAAAATAGCTTTTAATGTTATTTATGAAAAAATAGATATTTTCATTCATTCATTCATTTTTTAGGTTATGTTTATGTTTTCACAGGTTTTGTGAAATTCATCCATAAAAGGCCTGTTTCCACCTAAATAAAATATAAATTGTTTGCAAGCAGGTTTTCTGCTGCTGATTAATTTATTGTTTCAAATAAACAAATGCTAAAACAACTTAAATACTAAACAAAAAAAAAAACACAAATAAACAACACCACTAACAATAATAATAATAATAATATTAATGCTGTATATAATGCACTATACAGTAATTTGGAAATTTTCTTTCTCATATATGGACAGTAATTAAACAGGCAACAACAGGTAATCAAACACAAATATTTAAACATCTTTACAAATGAATGTACATATTTACATATTTTTTTGTAAATACAGAGAGATTGAGACCATGAGGAGCGCCGAGATCTTACTTTGCCATCAAGCGGCGCACGTTGTGAGCGAAGAGCGCTGGGTTCTTCTTCTCCTCCTCTGAGGGCGAGTAAATGGGCAGATACTGAGAGAAAGAGAAAAGCACACTGAAGACTCGTCTGTGTGAATCAGCTCAAGTGAAGTCCAGCCACACAAACCGCAGCATTCAGCACAGTCTGTCCATGCTGGACTGCAGCTCACGCTAAAGCAGGTCCCATCACTGCTATTGACATGCAGCGCCTCGTCCCACTTTACCACCAACTTTACCACAGCTGCTTAATGACTTCTAATGACTAGAACGAGTCTGGAGAATCTGCAGGAATCACTCCGGAACACAGACACAGATACACTAATATCAGCAATCTAATCAAAACCTCTGCTCTTCTGCCAAGTCAATCATCACTAATATTCTGCTCATATGTAGAGTTAGAGCTCTGTTGGCATTACTAACCCTGATAAGCTTCAGCTTGTGTGAATCCTGAGTGAACAACCTCATGTGTCTTGAGGAGAGCAGACAGACCAGAACACCTAAATAACCCAAATTTCGTTCTTTTGCTCCAAGTTTCCAATTACTTTTATTTTTGCCCGTTTTAATTTTTCTGGACTCTTGTTTTAATGGTTAAATTAAATTTCAGCAATCAAAAAGCATGTCTGATCAATTGAAAACATGGAACATACAATTTAACAACAACAAGTTTTTTTTTTAAATAATTTAAATAAATATAATTGTTTTAATTAAACGGTAATCATCAAAAAGCAAGTCTAATCAACTGAATTTATAAAACTTTCTCTATATTTGGAAAAAAAATAGGGCTCTATGAAATGTTTTATTTTTTTTCTGAAATTCAGTGTTGTGTATTTGAATTTTTCTGGATTTATCATATATTAAAAATACATTAGTTTAAAAAAAGAAGATCTTCTACGGTTCAGATGACAACACAAAACATGCCAGAGAACAGAGACTCACCTCGATCTCGAATTCATTGTGAAGCTGACACAGAGTCAACCACAGGATCTTAAACCTGCAAAAGAGCAGAGTTACACTGATGTGTGCCATTTTCCAAGTGAAGGTTCCTTCCTTTAATATATTCTGCTCTGGCAGTGAAGCTCCACCTGCACTGCTTACTGTATGTTCATCTAGCAATACAGCTATGAAAGAGCCGAATGAAAAGCTGCGGAGAAATTAGGCACTTACGCTCCGGGTCCCTGCCAGGTCCACGTGATAGTGTCCTGTAACGAGAAGCACGACGTCAATCCATCAGCATTCACCACACAAACACACACAGCTCAGAACAAAACACCTGCTGATAGGACGCTCCACACCATCAAATGAACACAGTCAGAGATATCAATCTACTGTACATCAGTGTGTGTAAATGATGACAGCTTTCATGATTGGACTAATTATTATTAAAGGGGTCATATGATGCGATTTAATAATGTTCTTTTTAGCAACATCATATGACCCCTTTAAGATCATTAGTTATGGATGTGCACGTCCTTTTAAAGAAACATACATTACTTCATCCTGCAAGTTTCATAAGCCCAGTCTGATCTTATTAGATCAAGAAAAATCTTTCAGTTTTCTGTGTAATACTGTATAAAGTCAGACGTCTCACCAGTTTGTTTGGGTAGCGGATCACGACAGGCTGAACAGGAACCGCAGGAATGAACGCTCCTGAATCATACACACAAACATCAACACATTAGGATGAACAGCACGTCAGCTGCTTCTGAAATGTAGGTTTGCCCATTAGGCAGCAAGAGCACACACCCACACACACACACACACACACACACACTG